TGGATGACGTAATGCTGATACCTCGGTAATTACTGCAGTCATTCCTGTTTCCCTTTTTGTAGATGGAGTTTATGTACGAGACTTTCCAATCTCTTGGGATACTTTCTCCTTGTAGGCACTTGTTAAACATTTTACAAAGCAATTCTAATGTTATTGCAGTGGCATGTTTGAATAACTCGATAGGTAAATCACCCGGCCCAGGAGCTTTATTATTTTTCATTTTTTGTAATGCGTTTTTTATTTCTTCTACGGTAATCATCGCCACTTCATTTAACCCCGTTTCAACTCTATCTATCTGTGTGTCTAGAAACTGTGTACGTTGTTCATTTAATAGATTTTCATAATAATTTTTCCATCTTTCTATGTCTATGGGGTTTATTTTTTTTTGTTTCGTTTGTATTTTTTCTAAGACTGTTGATAGTTTTCCAAGCTTGTCTGGACCTAGATCCTCCTACCATTGAGCTTATTTCTGCACACTTGTTGTCCCAGGTTATGTTTTTTGTTTTTTTAATTTCCTTTTTTACTATATATTTGTATCTGTTATAGTTCTTTCGGTCTTCTTCATCTTTTGTCGCTAACCATTTGAGATAAAATTTTTTCTTTTCTTCTACCAGTTCTAATAAACCTTCTGTCCACCAATAATTTCTACGTTTTACTTTTTCTTTCTTACCTAGAGCTTCTAATGCTGCTTCATGAATTTTGATTTTCAAAGTCTCATACATTTCTTCCGCTGTTCCGTTTATTTCTTCGTCTAATTTTTGTGCCAAACGTAGTTTATAATGAAAACTTGTGGACTCATTTTTTAAGCTGTCTATGTTATAGAGCCGTGTGGATTCTTTGTTTGTCTGTTCTTGGGATTTATTTTGTTTAATATATCTTATTTCCACGGGTGCCTTTACTAGTAGGTAATCCGATCCACATTCTGCCCCTCTCCAAACTTTTACATCGTATAATCTTAAAGATGTCTCTTGTTTCACTACTATATTATAGTCTATAATTGACTGAAGTTTTCTTGTCTTTTGAGTCCATGTATATTTATTTATGTCTCTATGTTTGTAAAATCCATTTAGTATTTTTAACGAATGTTGTTCGCATACCTCCAACCATCTTGTTCCGTTCTCATTTACTACATCTTCTCCGTGTTGTCCAATTATTTTGTTGTCAAGAGCTTTACCTACTCTTCCGTTCAGGTCCCCTAGCAGGACTATTTCTTGCCTTTTTTTTTATTTTATTCAACTCTTCTGAGAGTTTGTCGAAGAACATGTCTTTAGTGTTTGTATCTGAGTCGTCCGTGGGTGCATAGATGCCAATTATTTTTATGTCTCTCCCCTTTGTTGTAAGGTCTACTGTTATAATATTTGTCTTTAATATGTTTAACTGAAGACCAAATATTTGAGTTTCGTTTTCAATCAGTCGTATGAAACTAATTAACTTTTCTTTACAATTTGCAGGAAAGGCCGTGTCGTATACAAGATGTAGGTTGTTTATTTTTCTGCCATTTATTGAGATGCTGTATTACATCCTTTACGCGCTTGCGATAATACGGTCAACTCTTCTATATATAATTGTGGAGACAGTACTCATCCTTTTTTGACACCATGTTCTAGATAGAATTCGTTTGAGAGTATGTCAAGCACTTTAACTGTTTCAGTAGTGTGTTCTGGTGTGTTCATGTATAGTTCAGTTATAAGCGAAACTAAGTGCTGTTTTGCTTCTACCTACTTACCTACTTCTATTAGTATCTGCCATAAGGATGCCATTTGACCTTTTGCATTTGATTGCATAATATCTACTAAATGGTATTTCTGTAAGTACTATTTAAATGTGAAAACTTTAAACAACAAACAAATACTATATTTTATAGTATTTTTAATTATTTTTCACTAAATAATTTCATTTTAAACAGTATTATTTCTATCATAAGTTTAATATTTTAGTTGCAACATCGTGATTAATTCATTTTTACATTTTGATATTACTCTCTAGAAATCATACAAATGTAGATAACTGTTTGCAATATAATTAATAGTATCTCAGATTATTTGCAGGAACAGAATGCCATAATTATTACTATAAATTACTTCAATCTCAGATAAAAAATAATTCTAAATTGCTGTAAAAATAAGATAGTAATTGTTTATTAAATCTTTGTACAAACAGATTAAATCGAAAAGGGTTTCTTAAAACCACTTAAATGATTGCACCTGTAATTATGCAACCGTAATACATTAAGTTTCTTAACGTTGGTCAAATTTGTAAAATGAATATATATCATTTACCAAAATTTACATTGTCAAAAACGCTCTCACCAAAATTTTAACTGTCATTTTTGTAAAATTTCTAAAATTTATTTTGTACCATACATTTTAAGTTGTGATTAGAATAATTAGAGACTGTTCTAATTCGACATGCTGTCAAAACAGTTTTTTCATCGTTGTCTACTTCCACATTTATACCCTATTTGCTGAATTCAGTACCAACTGTCTAGTAAATTTTGTGATATGTTGATCAAATTTTAACTTTGACTGGAAGTTAATATCCAACCAAGTACACGTGCTCATAGCTATTAATAATTGTAACTTGAAAGTAAAAATAAAACTAAATCTATTAAAATAATAATATCAAGTTTTAAATGTTTATTTTTTAAATTCCATATATAGTTTATATAAGTGGAAAGTTGCTTTTAATCGCCCTCATTTTAAAATGTGTTACTATAACTACCATACTTTTTTTTCGATATGATTCAAGTGAGCACAAACTCTTTCTAACATGACTTTCTGTATTAAATAAGTTAAAAAATCAACAGGAAAGTCACTGCTTGGTGCTATAACATGTATCTAGGTGCTGCAGGTGGAACCTTGAGGTTACCCGAGAGCTGTTTTCACCCGGTCATTGGCATGGAGTGCAATGGAACGCCGAAGCTGAGCGAGCTGTACCTTTTACCGTAGACAAACTCAACGAAGCGTTGAGTGTTCTAAAGACACGAAAGGCTCCGGGACTCGATGTAATACCATTAGAAGCGGTGAAACGCATTGGCAGTATGGAGCCGACGTGGCTTTTGGAACACATGAACGCACTGCTTGAAACTCAGTGATTTCCGGTAAATTGGAAGACCTCGAGGCTCGTGCTATTCCCAATGGGGAAGACAAGTATCGACCTGTTTGCCTTTTGTCGTGCATAGGTAAATTATACGAGAGGCTTCTAAGAGGGCGAATAGTCATAATGATTAAAGATTCAGGTGGGCTGTTACCCAGACAGTACGGATTCAGAAAGAACAGGAGCAAAATGGATGCTCTGATGGAAGACTTCCGGAAGTTGCACGGGATTGGGCTTAACCAGGGTACTTGATGAATTTGGTCTCAAACTATCTGCCAGAGATGAAAATTGTGGTAGAAAAAGGAGTGGTGGTTGACGTGACGGCTCGAATGCCGCATGGGTCGCTCCTAGGACCCACACTGTGAAACTTGGCATATGACAGGGTTGTGAGCCAACAAGACGGAGAGGGTATAACCCCTTTCGCATTTGCGGACGACCTCGCTATGCTGGTAGTGGCGCATGACCTTATCTTTGGTGCACAGCGTACACGCGACCAATTCGAAAAATGGATGAAAATGCATGAGCTATAACTGGGGTAAGACCGAGGCTATAGTTCTCAAGGGACCAAGGAAAAGGGAAGGGATAACATTCGAATGTGCAGAAACGAGAGTGGTTCCAAAGAAATGCGTGAGATATTTAGAGGTGACGGAAAGTTTACAGCAAGTAAAGGCGGTGATTCAAAGAGCTGCGGTGAGATCCGCCGCGTTGGGGGATCATGGCTAATATCGGAGGGCAAAACTGAGAGGAGGGCCCTTCATTCTATTGTGCAATCGATCATCCTCTATGCTGCGCTTGTCTGGAGTACTGCAGTTTTAAGAAAAGCATACAGAACAGCCTCTGCCGAGGCGTTGGAAGTTATCACCGGGCGTATTCCGACGCACGTACTAGTGAAGGAAAGAGGAAGAATATACAGGAGCAGCAATGAAGATAGCAATAGAACGTTTAAAAAAAGAAAAAAGGGTCCATATGGGTTTGGGAAGAGATGAGATCGGTGGCGCAGTGGACGAAGTCGCTAATTCCTAACCTGAGAAGATGGATGAATTGCGGGCACCGGCGTTTGGATTACTTCCTGACGCATATGCTCACAGGACATGGTTGCTTTAGGGCATACCTTTACAGATTTGGAAAAGCAGAAAATCCCTATACTGTGAAATATCAGACACTGTCTCACACACTCTATTGGTATGCGATAGAGGGATAGATGAGAGGAGCCTGCTTGAGAGAGAGAGAGAGCTAGGAAGTAGGGTGCAATCAGCTTGGAACTGGTGGAGGAGATGCTTAGTTCAGAGGAGGGTGTTTTTTAGCAGTTAGGTCTCTGGTATAGACGGCGATGGTGTTAGAACAATCCCTTCGCACGGTCTCGGATATGGCTCACGTGGCCATGCTGGAGGAATCCTTCATAACTGAGGCTGGAAGACGGTTCTGCCCACATTCTAGTACCGAGATATGTTTCGAACATTTGTACCACCCCCCTCGTAAAAGACGAAAAACAAGGTGCTGCAGGTAGTCATTACCGGTCAATCAGACGCACTTAAAAAACAGCTTGGAATTTTATTGAAAAAAAAATATCTTGAAATGAAATTACCACAATTTTAGTTGAAAATACGCGTAGTTTAACGTTTTGATAGTAAATAATACTAAAATACCACAAAAAAATAGCTTCCGAACAATACAATGACCTTCACTTAATGAGATTTACAGGAAGCGCCAAAATATATTATTTATCTACACAATATTTGATGTCAATGTGGACTACTTAAATCTGTTCGCTAGCTGTTGCTTCCTCATCGTTCAAAAAGGACTGTCTTGAATGTTGTAGCCTGCTGCTACTTATCTTTTAGACTATCTCGTAGAAAGAAGTAAAAAACAAAACAAGGTGCAATATATTTTAAATATTTTTATTTAATACTGTTTCAACATATACAGTGCACGAGTTTAAAACTGTATAAAACTAAAGCTTTATGTAAATACAAAAGGCATATAATATAATTGATATACCGGGTACTTCCCCAGGAGTGGTCTAAATCCGTGTTTGAACAAACTCTGTGCGAAAAAAACGAGACAGTTCTGTTCAAACCGGGTTTAGTTTAGGACACGTTTTTAATAAATAAAAAAATATACAAAAATAATTACAGAAAGGAAAAATCCTTTATGATTGTTACAACTCATAGGTAATAAGTAAATTTTCAAGGTTATAGCTCTGATCGACAACAAAAATTAACACGTCTTTTTCGTTTACCTATAGTAAGCAGTAATAAAGAATAAATTAAAAAGTGAATAATACACTTCGTTTTCCCAAAATAAAAATTCCTCTTTCCATCAGAAGTGCAACAAAGATATTTTAGCAAATGGAACAATTTAGAGATGTGACCACGAATTATTTAAAAATTCTGCCTATTCAGCAGACTTGATCCACCGTGGTATTTATCGGTTCTCAAATTTTAACAAATATTTGCTTGAACAATTTGCATCAAGTTTTCGAGAAACAATTATTGGAAAATTATAACGAAATAAAGGGAGACATTCTTAAAAAATCATTTTTTAAATAAAAAAACTAATTTGTTTATTATTCGGTCGATTAGTTGTTATTTTATCCTCGTACATAATACTAGATTATCTACTAAAGGTGTTAAAATGTTTTTGGATCATCGACAATTGTGTAAACTCTGCATTTAGACTTCATTTTATAAATTTCAGTGGGAAAATTTAGATGAGTCTATGTTCCAAAGTGTATTTGTTATGGACGACAGCAATACCTGCTTCCTTCTTCTTTCTTTTTGGCAGACAAGTCAACAAAGTGATTTCAGTTACAAAATCAAAACAAAAGTAATGTAAAAACATCTTAGGCTATTAGGCCATAAGAACCGTCTTAGTTTATTAGGAAATCGTTGTAATACAGTCGTTTTCATTAAGAAAAATAAGTCTATGCGAAGAAAATTGATCAGTCTTTCTTAAAAAATTAAGTAAACAGTATTTTAAAAAACTGTGAAATATGAGTCAAAAATAAAAGTAACTTTTCCTTCCTCTTACTTGTGTTTTGTTTGCACGTTTGCTCAAGGACCGCAAATCTACAATCAGATACCTTATATTCTTCTCCTCTTTTTAAGGTTTTCAGTCGAATGCTGGTGGTATTTATCGATTTTTGTTTAACGCTTTGTCACATTTTAAAAAATAACAATCAGAACGCCCATTCTCAGATGCCGCCTTTTAAGTATGTAAGCACGCGATCGCCATATTTTAAACGGAAACAGACTCGGATTGAGAAATTTGTGACAAGCTACGACAGAACTGTAATTTAAATTTTTAGAGATTAATATCCAGGCGCAGATGTACCAACAGATCACAATATTTTAGTAGGAAAAATAAGACTGAGATTAAAAAGAGTTGCAAAGACGAATAAGCAAACAGTTACTATTGATAGAGAAAAGATGTTAAATGATACTGTAAAACAAGAAATAACTAGTGTATTACAACAAAAAATGAAGTTAACATCAAGCAAACAGGAAAGTACTGAGGAAAACAACGAGAATTAAAGACATCTTAAAGACTGTTCAAGAAACAAAATTGAGTGTACTAAAAGCGAGAAAAAAACAAGGGTAGATGACAGAAGAAATACTGAGACTTATGGATCAAAGAATAGAAGTCAGAAATAAAGATAAAAACGAATACAACAGGATCCACGCAATAATCAGGAAGAAAATAAGACACGCGAAAACACAATTTCATAGTAAAGAATGTAATGAAATTGAACAATATGAAAAGAAACACGATACATTTCATCTGCACAAGAAATTAAAAGAAGTCGCTGGAAACAAACGGAAACAAGTATCCCAAAGTTTAGAAGACAGAAACGGACACAGAATATTAGACATCAATGAATAGTTAAAAGAATGGGAACATCATACACCGATTGCTATATCAGGTCCATCTATAACAGAAAGTGAGGTTACACGTTCAATACAAACGGCAAAAAATGGAAAAGCACTTGGGCCCGATGAAGTAAGTGCTGAAATACTAAAGTTTTTGGAAGAAAATGGAATAAAAGTTCTGATCTCTTTAACAGAATTTATGAGACTGGGATATCAACTGATTGGTTAAAGTCGACATTTGTCACAGTACCTAAGAAACATCGTCCAAAGACATGCGATGATTATCGGACAATAAGTCTGATGAGTCATGTTTTGAAGATCTTCCTGCGAGTAATAATAAGAAAAGCCTTGTTTAGTATACAGGTGCTAGTACAGAGATGCAGAGAGATAAATCAAAATGTGTACATTTGTGCAATCGATTTTGAAATAGCTTTTGACAAAGTCCGACATAACAAAATACTAGAAATATTGGAAACAGCTGGATAGGACGATAAATATTTACGAATAATTACAAATCTATACTGGCATCAAGTGGCAAGAATAAAGGTTGAACAAGAACTGTCGGATGAAATAAATATAAAAAGAGGAGTGAGACAAGGCTGTATATTGTCGCCTTTACTTTTTAACTTATTTTCGAAGGAAATATTTAAGGTAGCCTTAATGGAGACAACCGAAGGTATTATTGTGAAGGGAGTAACCCTCAACAATATTAGATATGCCCACGATATCTTAGTGCTTGCTAATTGCGGAGAAGACCTTCAAAATCTAATGAACAAAATAAAATAGACTTGTGATCAGTATGGATTAAAACTCAACGTTAAGAAAACTATATATGTATATTATGATAGTTAGCAAACAAAATTATATACAGGATGACGGTATAAAAGTCGCAGATGCCACACTGGACAGAGTAGAGAAGCTCGTGTATCTCAGCAGTAATATCAATGAGAGCTGGGATCCAACCGGAGAAATTAAAAGCTGAATAGAACAAGCTCGAGCTGCTTTTGTAAAAATGAGAAACGTACTTTGCAGTCACGATCTTAGCATTGACCTTAAGAGTTCGAATGACACCTTGCTACATCTTTCCTTTCCTGCTGTATGAAGTGGAAGCATGGACTCTAACTGAGGCTATCCTTAGACGCTTGACAGCCTTAGAGATGTGGGTATACAGACGACCTGAAAATAAGCTGGGCCGACAGAGTTAGAAATGAGGAGGTCCTTAGACGGCTGAACCAAACAACCCAACTGGTCAATATAATAAAGAAACGCAAGCTGAAATACTTCGGTCACATTATGAGACACCCTGAAAAATATGATCTTTTAAATCGGATCATTCAGGGAAAGATCCAAGGTAATCGTGGTCCTGGTAGAAGAAGAACATCATGGCTGAAAAATCTAAGGCAATGGTATGGAAAAATAAAAAGCCACGATAGCGAATATGGTAGCCAACATGATATCCAACGATCGATAACGGTCATCTAACTAGAAGAAATAGAAGAGATTAATAATTTAAATTTTAAATGTACGACACAAAATATTGCATATATGTCTAAGGTTGCCGTAAATAAATTAAACCGGGTTAATTTTTCTATGCACACCAAATACAATTTCACTGAACAGCACTGGTTCCGTTTAAAACATGGCTGATTCCGTCTGCGCGAATGAGTTGCGCGTACTTATCTTTACAAGCTGAGTGGGCACTCTGATTGTTTATTATTCTGTGGCTTTGTCAAGGAGTCTAAGATTCGAATCTAGGTCGACATTTACCCATCTGTTTACCGAATGAAACATTTTATCAAATTTTATACATAGACAAATACGTCTTGCATGTATTGCCTTTCAAAAGATGTTCATAGCTTTTCTTAATTGGAGCAACTGAAATTGGAGAACAACATCTCAAAACAGGAAGTTTTATAGAGCTATGGTTGGCAGCCCAAAGGTTTGACATATTCTGAAAATTAGAGATATTAAAGAACTAAAAGGCATCAAAGAATTTAAAAAGCAGTTTTACGAGATTTGCAAGAGTTGCGAAGCTGTAAAAAGCGTCAAGAAAGGAAGTAGACAGGAAAATTGTAAATCACGCCCATTTTAAAAATGGTTTTGACAATTATTTTTCGTTTCTATGATTTTCCACTTGACAACAATAAAAATATTAGCAAAATAAATGACGATGTACAACAAAATACAGTTGTCAATTGTCAAGATGCAATTGTCAACTGTCAAAATACAGTTGCCAACTGTCAAGACAAGCTGCAGTTTGATTGACATTAACATGTTAACGTTTGAGAAATTATAAAGAAAGGAAATAAAAAGAAAAATACATTTTAAAAAAGCCTTTGCGCCTAAATACATTAGTTAATTTATTTATACGACCAGAGCTACAACCATTCGACCTTAGCAACTAATTGTGATAAATACAAAAATATTCATTTAACTGAGATCCTACTGAACATATATAGGGTATCTGGATTTGTCAATAATTTGTAACACTACTCGACGTATGTTAAATATTTGCAACGAAACTTTATATTGCCCTAAAAATATTACTTATCAATTTATTAGAGAACTTTTCAATATTGGTGTTGTTACGTCTCGAAACTTACCCGATGATCTCATATTTCTCGTTAGCCAACAGATAAATATTGTCAATTTGTTACTCGTAACTCCAAAATTATTTATTCAAACCACATTAGCCAATGGTTTATATCTCTTAGATGTACTCATACCTAAATTAGAAGAATCTATATAATACAATATTGTTTATGTACGACATTTCAGTTAACTTTCTCTGAGAATAGTACTACATGAAAGGAAAAATAACAACTGTTATATTATGTTTCTAATTTCAAATCAGAAGCCGGTATCTAATAATATTTGTATCTCATAAAATTAATAATATTATAAATATACTAACATTTTGACAGTTGACAAATGTCTTTTGACAGTTAATATATATGTTAAAAGTTGGCAAGTGAGTTAACGTGACAGTTAAGTCACTACTTGAATAGATATAAATGTGTTTTAAAAGTTAGAAAATGTATTATGACACTTGTCAATTATATTTTTGATAATTATTAACTAGTTTAACAACTGATCAGTATATTTTAAAAGTTGTATACTATATATAAAAGTTGTATAAATAGGCAATTGTACTGAATTTTTATTATTATTAAGGATTTTGACAATTAGTAACTATATTTAAAAGCTGATATCTATTTTTAGCGTTAGTCATATTTTGGCAGAAAAATACTGACGTGTCAACTATATTTTGACAACAGCTTTCGCATTTTTATTTTTTTTTCCTATATGTGGTACTATTCAATAGTAATATTTACAAATTACAAAATAATACAAGGAATGTAACAGAATACCAAGGAAAAATGAATAAGACCTCTTCAACTGAATAATTTCTAGATTTATTCAGTTATAAAAAAAACTTTCTTTCTGTCATGCTAGGCAAACTGTCTGTTTAATTTTCGCAGAAACGTTTTCATGTAGAATAAATGCAATGCCTAGTTCAGATAATGAACTATTTAATATACTTTTGCAACTCGAAATTCTAAAGACAACGAAACGCGTCAAAGAGAAAATAGAAAAATATTTAAAAATCGATATAAGAAGTATCTATAAAGACGGGAGAGAGCCTTACTATATACTGGTAAATATTTTTATCTGGAATACATACTTATATTATATTTGAGAAATATAAGACCATCAGCCTTTTACTACACCACTGTTAAAAACCACTACAAAAAAACACCCTACCCAACGCCGTTCAAACGATTTACAAAATACTTATTACTTATTATTAAACACTAAGCTATCACAAAAGTCAAACGTGTCAATCAAAAAATTATTACACATCGTTGAAGTCTAACGTAGGCCGAACGAAATATACAAATAATATTAATATACAGGATGTTTCAAAAACTAAAAAACTTTTTATAATACATAATAAAGAAGTATATACTGCAGTTTTCGTTATAGGGGAACATTTGGTAGGTGTACAATTATTTTAATATTTAACGACCCCATTTTGACAATTGACAACTGTATTTAGACACTTGACAACTGTATTTAGACACTTGACAACTTCCTTTTGACAGTCGGAAATTATATTGCATTTTACTGCATAAAACTGTATTTAAACAGTTGGCAATTGTATTTTAACATTAATACTGTCATTTGTTAATTGTTTTGCAACTATATTTTGACAAATAACAGCTTTATATTAAAATATGGGCATATTTCCTCGCAATGTACAAAATACAGTTAACAATGTTAAAATAAGATTACTACTTGTCAAATATATTTTGATAGAAAAGTCTAAATGTGTAAAATATATTGATATTTGTTTACAACAAATATTCCGTTCTGAAAACTGCTTAGTCATCACTGGGATCTTAAAAATATGATAACAGGGATAGATGTGAGCTAAACTATGCTTGCGCTTAATTTTAAAAGCGTCGTGGCAAGATAAAATTTGATTTTTATTATTTAAGCAAAAATTTAGCAATTGATTAATTCTTATCTGTGAAAAGTTTTTTAATCCGCCGATGAAGAGTTAAAAATGAGAAAGTATGTATCTCGACAATAACTTTCAAGTATTTTTTAGATACAATTTGAAATATCCTGTATAGTAAAAAAACGAAAGAGTGTGATGAGTCATGTAGTCGAACATAAGTCTGAAAAAAATCTATTGTATAAATTAAACTCTATTAAAAATTATTTCTTTGATATAGTTAAGACTAGGTGAGTGTTGTTATATGTTAGCATTGTTCATTTTATTTTTAAAGTCCAGGTTATAACCTGCAACAAAAAAATATACAATTAATAAAAATATTTAATACAAATGATTCATAAACGATTATTCATTAGTTGCAGATTGCATATATAAATTAGAATTTTTACATTTACAAAGTTGAAATGTACGCCACTTTAAAAACATTCGAACGTACCACACAAATAGAAATTCGCTACACGACATATACGATTTCCCTATCAGTTTATATTCTTTGATTCCAAACTATTCTCTGCAGTTTTATTAATATTTATTAAAAACATTACCCGTATGGTTTTTATGTATTTTCAACAATAAAAAAATTCCACTAAACCCTGGTTATGCATTCACTTATGTCAACATACGTTGATTTTTTTATAATTATCTTAAATATAGAGGTGGCTATGGAAAAATGACATCAAAATAATAATATTGTCAGTTAATGTCAAATGTATTTTGTAATATTAAAGCTTTTTACAATTTGTGCAAAAACTAGAAATGTACGAAAAAGTAAAATAACCGAAGCAGATCGAAGGACATTAAGACGCATTATAGTGAAAAATCGACGAACAAATTATATGGAGTTAGGGGTTTTATGAAGTGACTTTATTGAAAGACAAGGATATGTATGGAACGGTTACGATGTAAAATGAGAGTTGGACAGCAATACTCGGAGACATTTGAAATAAACAATGGACTAAACCAGGGAGATGCACTCTCACCACAACTCTTCAACTTAGCTCTGAAGCACATAATCAAAAGTGCAAGAACGAAAAATCGAATACAGTATTTCATCGAGAAGGACCAAACTTACTACTGGCATTTGCAGACGATATCGATCTAATAGGAAACACACGATTAAAGATGAAGGAGACTTTCGTTATGAATCCCAAGTGTACATAACATAAAATTATGTAAGAAAATAGTTTATTCTATGGATTTGACCCATTCTGCAAGAAAATACATAAAAAACCTGTCAACTTACCATTGTATTGACTAGTTGGCTGTGAATTTAATCCCTTCTACCTTTTACAAAGGTGTTTCTTTACGCCAATGGAAACTATTGGTTTTCGAGGCGGGATTCGCTCCCGACGTCGATTTGCGCAGGTTCGCCGCAGCACTGTCAAGTCCGTTTTTCACGTTGGCAACGAGCCGCAATGCCGGATTCGTCACTATTCCGTTTCTCTTAGGTTTCTGATTGCTATAAATAATAAAATACAATGTAATGTTTCGAGTGAGAAACGGAAAGGATTAGGTTAGGCTAGGTTAGGAGTATAAAAAAATATAAAAAAATATATGCGCAATTCTGGGCAGGCTTTTATTTATAAATTCTGCTAGGAAAGAGATTCCAGACCGTAAAGCAGTGGCGGCTTTTCTTTATGTGCTGCTGAGCTGCAGAACTACCAAACAACCATAGCAAATCTTAATTATTAAAGAATAATTAATATAGTTTTATTTCAAATCTGCCATATTATCATATTAAACATAAACTGTTAATAATAATTCACCAACAACGATGATTAATATTATTTTTTTTACGTATTTACTCCTCTAGTGAAACCGTATAATTTTTTTACGTATTTGGTGCTCCAGTGAAGCAATCTTTTTACGTATTTGCTGCTCCAGTGAAGCCGCGTCGATAACAACCGAAACACTGGCAGCGGTAAAATGCATTTATTAGGCAAACGGCGATCTTAGCCGATGTGCTTCGGCAATCGGCTGATTAACGGCCTCGGAAATGTGTTTGCGAGCTGCAATTCACGACAGTTATTCGTGACCGTTGCATCTGTGCCGTGTTTAGAAATTCTTAGGTTACAATTTTGTTTAATTTGTTTTGTTCGAGCGTGTTTAAAACAATGGAGTTTCAATTTAAATTAGGTGTAAATAAATTTCAAAAACTTCACTATCAACAACAGTTGATTATAAAAGAACGTGGCCGTCCTATGCCTGATCTTAATATTGAAGTGTCCGGTAAAAGCCGTGGAAAAACATATACGCGTAAATTTAATAAAGACATGTATCTACGAAATCAGTGGATTTGTGGATGTTCCGAAAAAAATGCTTTTTTCTGTTTTCCGTGTGCATTATTCGGCGCAGATAAAGAGGAAAAATTGTGGCGCGAGACAGGAGTGCGGGATCTAGTGCATTTAAGTGAAAAAATAAAGAAGCATGAAAACACGCAAACTCATATGAACAATGAAATGCGATTTGCATTATTTGGGAAACTTAATATACAGGCCCAACTTGACTCTGCTTATTGGATAAATATACAAAAACACAATGAAGAGGTGACGAAAAACAGGTATGTTTTGTCAAAAATAATTGACTGTATAAAATTCTGTGGGGCTTTTGAGCTCGCCTTACGAGGACACGATGAATCTGAAACATCAGATAACCCTGGAATTTTTCGTGGTTTAGTGAATTTTTCTGCTGAACTTGATAAAACACTTAGTGAACACCTTACAAATGCGACAATTTTCAAAGGTACCTCAAAAACAATACAAAATGATATTTTGGATTGCATGCTAGAAGTATACGCTGAGGAGATTTTAAACGAAATCAATGAAGCCCCATTTTTAGCAGTGATAGCTGATGAGACAACGGATGTTTCTATGAAATTTCAAATGGTCATTGTTTTTCGTTATGTAAAAAACGGTGCTCCAGTTGAAAGGTTTTGGACTTTTTTGCTTCCAGAAAAACATGATGCTGAAACCTTAGCTAACACAATTTTGAATGTTTTAGACCCAATATTAAAGAATAACAAAAATAAGCTCATTGCACAAAGTTATGACGGAGCAGCTGTTATGAGTGGGATACATGGCGGAGTGCAAACAATAATTAAGAGAAAATATGAAACTGCTCATTTTGTGCACTGTTACGCCCATCAATTGAATCTAATAATGTCAAGAGCATGTTCTATTAATTCCCAAGTACGCGTATTTTTTGGAGATTTACATGATATACCTGGATTTTTTAGTCATTCACCTCAAAGAATAGCTGTCTTAAATCAAATAGTTGGAAAAAATATTCCTCGTTCAATCCCTACACGCTGGAATTTCAATATTCGTACAGTAAATGTCGTTTACGAATATAGAGACTTTATTATTGAGTGTATGGAGCAACTAGAAGAAGAGTCAAATGCTATTACTTCCAAGGAAGCAAGAGGACTTAGACGTATTCTGGAAGATCAAAATTTTACTTTCTGGCTGACTGTTTTTCATTATATTATGCCACATGTTGACGTTTTGTACAATAATCTTCAAAAAAAGAACATGGACCCAACCGAAGCACAGAAAGCTATACATGTTTTTGAGCAAAGTATTAACAATGTCCGAAATAAAATAGACCCTATCATACATCAAGCTTCAAATTTAAATGCGGCGCCTAGTGTCCAAAAAAGGAAACGCCCAAATAACAGCCAACAGGATCACCGTATTGCCTGTCTAGAAGTTTGTGATGTTATTATAAACAATGCAAAAGAACGGTTTGCATATACAAATCATCTAGTTGCCGCAACACTTTTATCTTCAGAACATTTCGAAAAATATAATAATAAGTTTCCTGAAAATGAATTGGATTTAACTTGTACAGCTTATAACTTCTTTGATAAAAACCGTTTGCGAACAGAACTGTCAGTTTTGTATTCCAATATCGAGTGTAGAACATTAAAAGGTGCAGTGCCTTTACTAAAATTTATAATTTCTAATAATTTAGAGGACACATTAACAGAAACCAAAAAGTTGATACAAATTCTGGTGACTACGCCAATGACCACAGCAGAAGCTGAACGTAGTTTTTCAACTTTAAAACGGATCAAAACATTTTTAAGAAATTCAATGTGCGAAGACAGATTAACAGCCCTTTCCACACTCTCGATAGAAAAAAAGTTCATCGCTTCAATACCGAACTTTAACGATAAAGTAATCGAAAAGTTTGCGACAAAAAAGGACCGGCGTATTAATTTCCAATTTAGAAAAATGCAATAAATGTAAGTTAATCAGATTTTTATAGCATGTCGTTATTAGTTACTATTAATTAGTATTAAAGCTAATTTTATTGTTTTTGTTTTCGTATGTTATTCTATTTCTATTATTTTATATTGACCGTGGTTCATGCAGCACACCCTATAGCAGATGTCACGAGCCGCCACTGCCGTAAAGTGCAAGGATATTGCACTGAGAAATGCAGATTAAAATGTTTGACGAAAATAATTGATGAAGACAGGCAACAGATTCACACAAGTTATTCTTGTCTTATCTTTATCAGACATCAACAGACAACAGGACTTCTTAGTTAAAAATCTTAAACCTATCAGGCCTAAATATTCTAGAAGGCAGCCTGGAAGTAGAAGAACATGCAATTACGGATACTATTTCAATGTACATAAAAATCAAACTAGAGTCTGTAAGACCTATTTCAAAAACCAGGAAAGCTTTGATACTCACATTAATGTAAAGAACCAAAGTCGATTAGAAAAAAAAAATGATTTAAAAATGCATTCTTCGTTAATTATAGTATGCTGTTTTGACTTGCAAGCAGTTCACCTAACCGTTCTACCAAACGGAGAAGTGATTTTTTTATAAAAGAAGACTTGTCTGTTATAACTTCACAATTTAAGATCGATATAATAAACAAAGATATTGCTATTTATGGCACGAAGGAGAAGCTCATAGAGGTGTTGTTTGCTAAAATATAGGTAGTTGTTTACTAAAATATTTTAGGGATCATGTTTTACTCAGATAATTGCCCTGGGCAAAATAAATTAAGTTTATATGGGCTTTTTACTCCTACTTTGTACTAAATGCACATATTGAAAACATGAATTGTAAGTTTTTTATGGTAGGACACACCCGGAACGAGGGCGATGCAATGCATGCTCTTATAGAATGTGAAAAAAAAAACGTGCTCTGAAAGGAGGACCACTGTATGTGCCTTCACAAATAACACCTATTATAAATTTGACAAAGAAAAATGAAAAACCCTACATAACTAACGAATTTCGAGATTTCATGGATATAAAGCTTTGGTTAAAAACACAGATAACTATACCAAAAATAACAGCGGAGAAACCATGGACGTATATCTTTATTTATACGTCCATGGGAGAAACAATTAAATGGAGTGATGTACATATTGTTCAAGTAGAAAAATCAGGTCTCTACCGAATTTTATCCAAAAAACCATTTTTTGAGAAAGAATTCAAAAGTGTAAATGTTGATCGGAGAACAAGAGGACAGCGAGCGGACATTAAGCTAAACTATGCTTATAGCTATCCACCAGGTATTTCACCTTTAAAGAAAAAAGACCTGATTTCCTTTGCAATCTTGTGCAATTCTGGCTCGATCCTCAAGAGCATATTGGGATTTTTATCACGTCCTTCCTGTAGCCTCCACAACGGTAGATGAACAAAATATATTTCAGATTAATAAATTAAGGATTTGTACTATATTTACTAACTATAGAACCTTATCACAAACAGATATCAGATTTATAAGATCAGAACCATATCATAAACACAAAAGAGGGTAAAGCTACTGGACCAGATGATGTGCCCATCGAATTATTTAAACTCATCGATAAAGATGTTATTGATGTAATGGTTGAACTCTTTAATCTAATATATCAGACTGCCACAATCCCCAGACAATGGCTGCAATCGATCTTTGTAGCAATTCCCAAAAAGCCAAGTGCAATGATACATAATGAGTCACATACTTAAAACATTTTTGAAAATACTTCACAGCAGAATTGTTAAAACTCTTGAATATGAAATTAGTGACACACAATTTGGCTTTAGAAATTTTATGAGTACAAAAGATGCTTTGTTCATTGGCAGTCGTGATATGAAAATTATATCTAATTTATATTGGAATCAGACTGCCAAGGTAAGAGTTGACAGCCAGTACACCGAAAATATCAAAATACAGAGAGGAATCCGCCAGGGTTACGTGCTGTCCCCACTATTTTTCAATGTCTACAGTGAAGCTGTATTTCAAGAAGCGCTCTCAGACTCAATAGAAGGTATATATATATCAATGGAGAAGTTTCGAATAACTTACATTTGGCAGACGATACAGTAATAATGACGGATAACAACAATGATTTACAGAACGTAATGCAACGCCTTAATGAACGCTGTCATGAGTAGGGACTGAAGATAAATTTAAAGAAAACTAAATGCATGATCATGACTAAATCTGCACATGCAAATATCCAATTGGCTATTGAAGATACTGCAATTAAGAGTGTTAATAACTATAAATACTTAGGAACATGGATAACATCAGATGTAGACCAAACCAAAGAAATTAAGATACGGATTGAAATAGCACGTATATCATTCATTAAACTTAAAAAGTTTCTTTGTTGTCGGGATATAAGGTTAGAACTACGCCTGAGAATGCTTCGATGTTACGTGTTCTCTACTCTTCTTTATGGCTTGGAAGCGTGGACCCTAAAACAAGTCCATCTGAATAAGTTGGCCACCTTTGAATTTTGGTGTTACAGAAGAATCCTACGAATATCATGGATTCAAAGAATGTCAAACGAGGAAGTAACTAGAAGGATATGAAATGAGGCGGAAATAATAAATAATATTAACTATTAGGCCGTCCGCACATGAAGTTACTAAAAAGAAACCAGTTGGTAACTTTAGTTACCAATCAGTTGCTTATTAGTTACTGTCCATGTATTTTAATGAGTATCTGCACACAGCGCTACTAGTTAGTAACCGATCTCTAATGCATCAGTGATCAGTCGACAGCAGACTGGACGTGCAGGTCGTTTGGGGACTAGTTTCTAGTTTGTTGTGAAATTTTTAAAGTTTACACGCGAAATGGCGAAATTGGTAGAACAGTCGTTTAATATACAATTAGTGCAAGAAGTGGAAAAACAGTAGACATTTTTAAACGCAATAATAACACTTAATAATATAATATAAAGGTTAAAATTTAAACTCCCTATAACAACGCTACTCGTACAGGCAAGAAGTGACTCGTTTCTATTAATTTTCAGTAAGGTAGTGTGCGAGTCACAGTTAAGTCAACATTTGGTAATTTTTTTTAAGTAGCTTCATGTGCGGCGGCCTTAAAAGACGAAAACTTGAGTACTTAGGACATGTGATGAGAGGGCAAAAATACGCAGTATTACGGACGGTGTTTTGCAACAATCGTCTAACCCACATTTGTTTACAAATGAGGTTAGACGTGACAAACTGTCGATCATAATGCATACTACTACATCAAGCAAAAATGATATAAGCCATATCCATATTCATGGAGGCGTTTGTGAACTAGGTTCTAAACCACATTCGTCAAATAAATGGAAACAGAAATTTGTAAAAATAGTCTAACCCATGTTTTTATTATAAATATGTGGGTTAGACGCTTGTTGCAAATATTTGTAAGGGTTTTTTCATTGCGTGCACCAGATGCAAAATATTAAATTGAACCAATCTTTATTTTGACTTATTAAAAGACGATAAATTTATTATTACACCATTACAATTTTATTTAAATAAATAAAATTGCACCAAACTAGAGGCTTTATCCTTAATGGTAAAATACGAAAGTATATTATATAAAACTGTGAAAGTGTACCGAAAAGGTAACATAATATGTTTTGCAATTACTGAAATGTTGGTGCCATGAACGCCGACAAAAATTGCATTATCAAATAACGAAACCAGTTGTTTATTATATAAAATATTGGAACTGTTGCTTGATAATCAAAATTTTGGTCAGCAAAATATTGTAGGAATATGATAAGAATGTTATAGGTATGATTTGGAAGGAATTTTTGTTAAATCCTGATTTCGAGATTGATCAAGATTAAATCGAGTAGGAATTTAATAAGTAACAATTACTTACTATTACTAATGAACTTGAATTCGAAGTTTTTTTTGTGTATTTACCATGTCGGAGCGATAGACGGTTATTGCAAAATGATCATTTATATTTTTACACTTTTGCAAAAACAGTCTAACCCGCTTTAAGTTATTTTTGCAATAAACTGGTTTTACTTATTTTGCTCTTGTACGATTTTTTAGGTAGCCTATAATTATTAAAATATAAAAATGTGAAAATAAAGTCTTATTTTCTATCAGTGAATTTCTTAAAGTAGGTAAACACAATATGCTCATTTACTCTGAACCATATATATGTGGCTTAGACTATTATTGCAGAACACCATCCAACTTATTATGCAGGGCAAAATCCGAGGAAAGCGAAATGTGGGAAGACGAAGAATATCCTGGCTTAAGAACTTAAGGGAATGGTTTTAATGCAGTAGTGCAGAACTTTTTAAAGCGGCAGTCAACATAGCCATGAAGATTTCCAACCTTCGATAGAAAATGGAACTTAAAGAAGAAGAATAGAACTATATGTTTTTTTTATTCAAACAAATCTCATACCAAATTTGAACTTTCAATGAAATATGAAAAATCTTTAGTGCCAAAGTGTAACAACTAGAAAAATGTCTTATTATATACATATGCATATATTTCTTTTTTAATAACATCAGTTTAGCTTTTATCTCTTGAACATTAATAAAATATGTTGATTGTTATTATATTAAAAAATAATACAATTATCTGACACAAACATGTTGGAGACCAGATTTTCCCTGTTTTCTCGTAACTAATACTTTCTGACTTGTTACACTTTGGAACGGGTCTACGATGTACAAAAACTTTGATTACCTTGATTTGGAATTCTGAGTATCCTGTACTGGTTCTGACTTCTTATCTTTGCTAAAAGGCGAACCACTGGTGTTGCCCAGGATGATTCTCATGTGAGTATCACGGGCAAAATGTGTGTCGGGAGCTTTCGCAAAATTATTGTGCCTAAGAACTGGTTGATAGATATTCATAGCGCCTAAAAAGGAATCTGGAACACAAATGAGGAATTATGGTCTATTATTATAAAAAATCATAACATATTTCCTAAATTATCCACTAAAGATGTATGGCTAATAAAGCGTGTACCCAGAGGTTGTCATATAAATGTAGGTATTCCCTAAATTACCCAACTTTAAGCTATTTTCTGATAACTTACTACCTCTCTAGACAACTCATGAATCAGTATGTAAATACGTCCTTAATTATTTATATTTTGCAAATCAGTCATCCGTGTCTAGGTGATTTGTAAATAAATAATTTTACTTTCGGTACTTCCTAAATCGTTACTATGTACTCCATTAATCAGCTTTACCTCTCTAAATTAGCTATGTCTTTAGGTATCCGCACAAATCACTAATTCTTATATTTGGAATACTTTCACTATTATATTGAATTTCGATTAGTTACTTACCAAACACGTTAGGGGGATCATTCACTGGACTTAAGGGAGGTGATGCGTATATAGGGCTTTGTGGTTCGCTTTGGAGAGGCGACAACAACTTACTTAGGGGTCTCGTTTTGCCGCCTCTCGTACACTGCTGAAGTTGCTGCGTGAACGACATGGGCTGCAATAAATAAAACAGTAAATACTTAAGTAACAACATTTTAAATAAATTAACACAAGGATTTTGTCATAATATATTGTTTTCGGGGATTATGGCCCATCATATGGAATGGATTATTCAGGCATTATAAAAGGGAATGGTCGGTACCTTCTGTCGCTCACTGATGTGTTAGTTATGATCGTTGCAACATCACCTTTGATATTGTTCTGAAGCTATTTTCTTATGACATTTTAAATTAATTACTATTTAACTGGGAATAAGCCACAATTAAAGATAAAAATACGTTTATTGACGTTTCAATTTCCACTTCAAGTGGAAATTGAAACGCCAATAAACGTATTTTTATCTTTAATTGTGGCTTATTCCCAGTTAAATAGTAACTAATCACCTTTGATAATGTAGGTCGCAGTTTCTTATCATAAACTCGAAAATAATGTATATAAAATACCGACTGCTAGAGTCTAGACTTACTAAGAAGAAATAAGGAAGAAATAAGAGGTGAATGGAAGATTAAAAAAAATTGATGTAATGAGTACAAAAAAATAATGAAAAACGTATCTAGTTTAGTTTTTCTTAATTGTAGTGCAATCTATACTAAATAAAACTAAAAGCATACCTGAATATTTTGCACATTCTCCCTTTGCCTATCTCCATGCCTACTGGACTGGCTGGAACCGGTTAGATTGGAACTAGATTTAGAATTGGAACTGTGATTACCTAGTGACACCATCGACCGCCTCTGTTGATCGGACCAATCACCTGTACTTCCGGAAGGATAAAGAATGGCACAAGATGGTTTGGTTTCTGCAGTGGAAGCTAAAAAATCATGTTTTAGAAACAATTTTATAAATCCAAGATAAGATTTAGATTATTTATTAGAGGATGCTATCAATCACTTTTTTAAACGGCTTGTTGGTAGTTTAGTTACCACGGTAAATGACGTGATAGATATGTTTATAGATTATAGTTCTATACCTATTTTTAGGTTAAAAACATCAATTTTTTCATGGTTTTTTAAGATTAAATTGATATAATGATATTCAGCAATGACTAAAAATCAAAATTGTCCAATTTTACTTAGTACATGGTCATTGGCCATGTACTAAATACATTAGTACATCAATAATGTAAAACAGCAGAAAATGAAGGTGGAAAAACTATTCAAATCTTTATTTCTTACCTGAGGTAATTGAATTGGCGCTACTACTAGTATGCGCCACTTTGTGTGATCTAGCATTGTACTCCTCCAACAGTCTTACAACTCCCCTATGGCCGGATTTGGCGGCCACCCTTAAGGCATTTCGTCCACAAGCGTCTGAATGGTTTGGATCTGCTCCGTGTTCTAATAACGCTACTACGCACAGTTCGTGGCCCTCTTGAGCTGCTATGCCTACAAAAAATACCATTTGTATTATTTCTGGAAATCTTGTTTTTACATAGAATTGAAAAAGTTAAACCAAGAGCTCAACGTGACAAGATCTTGGCTAAGTGAATAATTGACATTGCTACAAATGAAATTACTGCCTGTTATGTTGACGAACTTCATATAAGAATAATTAGCTAAGGCTCTAGGATGCCACAGTATAAGATGAAGAATTCACCCAATTTTCTAAGCTAACTTATATTGATGTATGAAACATTTTGTACTTGAGTTGCAACAGTTCAAGCAGTATGTAGATGTAGAAGATAAATGTATCCTCTAAGAGTTTATGGACTTATGGTTTTTGGTAATCTATAGATAGTCTTTTAATCCACAGATAGTCGACACTGCGTGTCGAAGGGTCAAACAATTAATTTTTCTTGAATCAGAACAATGTGGTCTAAAACAAGTATTCTTCTTCTTATTGTGCCGTCTTCTGACGAACGTTGGCGATCACTTCTTTCAACGCTTCCCTATCTTTTGCAAAGTGAAATATCTGTTCAACACTAAGGTTAGTCTAAACTCTATTTCCTCAGCCAAGATATTTCTTCTTTCTTCTCCAGCTTTTTCTTCTTTCTACTATTCCTTGTATATTGACGTATATAAGAGAGTATTTATCGTTTCGAAGTATGTGGCCCATATACGATGTTTATTTTTATTTTAATTGTGTTCATCGTTTTTTGCCATGTCCAATTTGTCTTCAACACTTCTTCATTTGAGACGTTTGCAGTCCAGGAAATTTTCAGAATATACCTATATAGCCACATTTGGAATGCCTTCAACTATTTACGGATTGGGCTTTTAGAGTCCAAAGCTTCTACCCCATATAGCAGTTGCGGCCATACATAACATGCATCAGCAATGTGAAGTTGAGTAATCTTAAGTATAAATTGTCAGAAAATCATTTCCATTCGTTAGAATTGGTACCTTCTAAGTTTGATATATTTGCAAATCTTAAGAAATTTGGAACGAAAAACATTTTGTCCAATAAAAGAGACAAAAGGGTGATGGATGAATATTTTGGAAGCCTTTCACAATCTTACATTTTCAAGCCAGAATCCGTTTATAGGAGAAACGCTGGACACAAGTGTATTGAATCAAAGGGAGAAGACAATACGAAAAAAATGTATTTTTTAAAGAATTAAGAACTATGGTTTCCAATTTATCGTAGCTGAAAACCACTTTTTAAAGCGTTAATATTGTGAGAACTGTCAAACTAAAACTCCAAAAAGGTGAGTGAACCTAGGCTGATATACTTTTATGTTTTCTACTTCTCAGTTCCAATCATCACGTGATTTTTAGCTGCCAATGCTTCCCTTTTTTAACTTTCGTTACAATTTACTATATTTAATGGGAATCAAAATAGTGATTTTTTCTCATTAAATATGGTCCATAATTTAGAAATGCCAGAAGAAAATAGTTTCAGAACCGTACCAAAGGTAAAAGCCGTTTATTCTACAATGTTCTAATTTTTTTTTTATCAGCGGCGTAACACAACTCTGTATTATACCACCAACGCTGTCATACAATACAACATTGTGCTTTAAGACAGTGCTTTAAGAGCAAAATATGAATAATCCCACTCACCTAAGGCTGTAGCTCCTTGGTTACAAGTATGGTCGGGCATGGCTCCGTGTTCTAGAAGCATTTTTACAATATCGCTATGGCCCTGCCAACTCGCCGAATGTAGAGCAGTTCTATTTTCTAAATCGCAAGCATCTACTTGTGCTTTACCGTAAGTAAGCAACAGAGTCACCATTTCCGTGTGCCCTTGCCACGAAGACACATGTAATGGAGTACGACCCTACAAAGAAATATATTAATTATTATAAATGTAAATACAGGCAAAAATTTTGATTCCGCTCTTCTTCTAGTGTTCTCTACTAATTAATTGAAAATTCAAAAATATTTTGACGTAGCTAGGGTAGTTACTACAAATTAAAAGAAACAAAATATTTTAAAATAAAATAAAATCTCTTATCACGTATGCTGTTTGTTGAAAAGAATACTTTATAAAGTCGTTATAAAAAAAAACTAAAATTGAAGGCGGACTTTTATTGTATATCACCCTGTTGCGCCAAATTTAGACAACTTACAATTTCTTGTTAGTGATGATTGAGTTTAACTATTTCTTAACACTTACAAAATGTCGGTTTTTAGGCCATTTGAATAATATTTATTTGAATAATATACAGTGTGTTAGTAATGAAGTGCGAGAAACTTTAAGGGTGGTTCCGCCAAAAATGATAATGTAAATGCTAAAATATAGATATATATATATATATATATATATAATATATATATATATATATATATATATATATTATTTGTAGTCTCAGCAATTGGTCTGTATGAAATAAAACTCTATTTGTTATTTCTCAATATTTCGTCACGATTTTGTGACTTCTTCAGGAGAAAACTGTAAATTTATTATAATTATTATATGTAAACAAAATGAATTTCAGTACTAATACTATATATATATATATATATATATATATATATATATATATATATATATATATATATATAACTGCTTCGTTTTCCGAGATACAGGATGTTGAAATTTTTCTTAAATTAAAGGATTTATTTATTGCTCTGAAACCGGTTCAAGGGGTAGTTATTGACCATTTTTTGACGTACAATTAAGAATTTTATATTCATCTTTGTCGCACTTAAAAGTAATGATCTCAATTTGTTAAAAGAAAATTTGTTTCTTTCAAAAATCGAATCTTTTATTAATACAAATTCTTTTAATTTTTTACTTCTCATTTAATATGTGTATTTTGTTAGTTACTTTTCATGCAGTTTTTAATTATTTAAACCTGCTTAAAATAAATATATGATGACAAGAAACGAATTGATCGAGAGTAGTAAATTGATATGAAGAACCGCTATTTCGTGACGCCATGATGACTTGTGATAGAGATTTGATAAAAGCTTCGCTTCAAAAAATAAAACATCTTAACGCGTATTTTTAATTTCTTTAACATTGTCTAGTAGGTTATGGTCAAAAATTATCACATATTTTATTTAGCTACTCTCAACATTTATCTAATGTTAAATACCAACTGTCAAATCAGCGTTTGTTCATTATTATGCTTTAGTCTGCTATAACATTGTTGTTAGTAATTAATTAATTTTTCTTTGATCGAAAAAATATAATTTTTATCAGGTTGTTAATGTTGATAAACATTTTATTGTTATATTTATTTTATTTATAGAAAAGAATACAAACCTCCAAATCTCTAGTTTCTACATCTGCTCCTTGTTGCAAGAAATATTTGGACATCGCGAGTCTATTGTCCAACGCTAATACATATAAAGTACTTCTACCATCGGCATCTTTTGAATCAATATCTGCTGCATTGGATACCAATATCTGCACTATATCGTAATGGCCTTCTAAAGCCGCCAACCTAAAAACAGATACAATATGTATTCAATATTCTAGGTTGAAGTGACCCGCTAAAGTAAGGTTCAATATACACTGGAAATTGTGAGCAACGGTTCAAGCTATAACATTTTATTTATTTCTATTTTATTTTATTTCTTTGTAACGCATTAAGTTGAATGTGACGGAAAAAGCAATAGGTCCGTGCTTAAACACATAAATATTGCAGCGTTACATACACAAGCGGTATATTCCTAACCTACGTTTAAGTCGTTGATATTTAAAATGCGCGCTTTCTACAGCCAATCAATTACGCGAATTACCAACATTTAACGTTGACCGTAAACCGTTGAGGTAAAACTTCATTCATGTTGACCATCCTTTCGAAGTTTCAAAAATATATAAGGTAATCTCCTAACAAAACAAAAAAAACTTTCTTATAAAATATTGAACAAGAATCAAATGTGAAATACAATGGGTTCAGAACATTAATCCTGAAACAGTTCTCTGATCATAAAATGGAAATGTGGAAAACCACATATGTAACTAACTGTTCAATCACAAATTAGTCCATTAATTTGTAATCTCACATTAATTTTAATTTAATTTAATTTAATTAATTTTAAAACTCTAGATTGCCTAATATGTATTGAGGAAATGCGTGCAATTATTTCCCCGATTCAAATTATATTTGCCAGCTTTCAAAAGTAAAAGTACTTTGTTTTATGCAGAGGGCAATACACTTATTTGATGAATCGTAGCATTTTAGTCGTATAGTGTAATAATTCAGTAGCTGTCAATACAGCTATATTTATCTCCACGACTTCAACATTTTATTTTATCATCGTCGATCGAGAAGAATCGGACACAAGGAATGAGAAACAATTCTAAATTATAATTACATTTGAATTTGTCCACAACAAAAAAACTAAAAGTAGCAACGAGAATAACGCAATCGCGAGGTTATGACTTTAATAAGTTGTTTACCATAGAATCAAGTAAAAAAGCAAGAAGCCAAATAATTTCGAGACCCTTACCTTAAAGCAGTTTTTCCGTCGTGAGGTCTTTGATCTACTGGTGCGTTATATTTATCTATAAATAAATTGACTAAAACCGTATGACCTCCTTGTGCAGCCAGTGCCAATGGGGCCTTTCCTTCATTATCAGTCTCGTCTACTCTCGCTCCTGCTTCTAGTAATGCTTCGCATACATCAAGATGCCCTGAAATAAAGATGCCATTTTTATTTAAAATTAACTTATACTGGATACTGGAACGTTTGATGAAAAATAAGTTAATGTATCAAGTAAATAATAATTTTTGTTGGTTTATTGCCAACAGAAATTGATATAAAATTAGTGGAATAGTATATACCTTCATTACTAACAGTAAAAACATAGATATTCTACGTAAAAGGGATTAAGAAGAAGTTATAGAAGAAAATATCGAGAAGATACACCATGTGGTTCTAAATAATCGACTATGAAAGGTGTATGTGATTAAACTAATACTTTAGGCACTTTAGAAGAAAACATTACATATTATAAAAAACATCACAGAACATTACGATTTGTTACGACAGATGTATTTAATTCACAAGAACATCCTAAGAAACACCGGCTCAATACTGAAGAAAGCAATTGCTATAACATAGGCTTCAAACATTCTACCAAATGTGTTCGATATTTCAAAGTGACTTTATCAATTAATTATCAACAGTCAAGTAAATTAAGTAATGGGAGATCCTAGAACATCTTGACCAGCTAAATGAAATAAATATATAGATAGTCTGGTTTGTAAAAGAATGCTTCCCACTTTTTCGTCTGAACAATGTACCTATTCAAAAGGCGTTTTTGTACTAAAAAAATCGAAGAATTTGCAATATGAATTAATTGTTAGAATTTCTGCCTAAGTATTTGCCAAATTTAGCTCTCTCTGATTTTTTTAATCAAATGAAGGGGTGGTATTAATGACAACCATATATGTTTAAGAATCTTGCAGAATCGTATATTAGGATTAGATTATGGAAGAGACCTTAAAAGCTGTAGAAAGGAAGAGAAGCTGTACCCAAATGAAGAAAATAATTCGTTAAATATTGTGAATTAATGCTTTTTTTTTTTAATAAAACCAATTTTTTAACTGTGTTTCCTCGTTGTTTACGTACCTTCGAAGGCAGCATAATGTAGTGGCGTCCATCCTGAATTGTCACGATGCTGTTCGTCTAAACCTCTGTCCAGCAGTTGTCTGACGACTTCAACACAACCTGTAATAAAAAACTAGTTATTTTTGAAATTGTATACGGTTATTAAGGTTCTCTGGGTGGCTTTGATGGGCGCATTAGGGTAATACGTTTTCGACGCGAGAGACGAAATATAGACATGGCTGTTGAACGTCATACAGCAAGACAACCAAGCATTAAGATATGAGGTGTTATATGTTTGGGAAGCAGATCACCTATAGTTCTATTAACGGCACTCTGGCAGCTCAACGATATATTGGTGAAGTACTGCAAACCGGTTTTACATCCCTACCTACAAACTATTCCAAATGCGATCTTTCAACAGGATAACGAAAGACCTCATATTGCCAGTAAAACCAAGGAATTAATAAAATAATCTAATATAGAGACTTTGATGTCGCACCAAGATCAGCTGATTTGTCACCCATCGAACATGTGTGGGATATGGTAGGTCGAAACCTAAATCGATTGCCACGTCCTCCAGCAAACTTCTAACACTTGTGGATTATGGAATGCCATAAGAAGAATGTGGTTGAATATTCTGGTTAGATGATTATATAATACAGATCACTTAATTATTAATTTTTTGATGAAAATGAAGTTGCCAATTGTAAAATGTTGCATATTTGTTTGTTATCAAATATTAAGAATATTATAATGTATACTTCCATAAATAAATATTTAAAAAAATATTTGTCCTTCTAGGTGTTGCATTTTTTTGCCATCAGTATACATGTAAGCAGTAATTATTATTTCGTCTGTTCCAGTACCATTCTCTTCTTATTCTATTTTCAGCGTATTTTCTGCAATTCCTCTCAGCATTCTCATTGCCGTCTCCAACAGATACATTGATTTTTCTCTGCATCGGATCTTGTTTCTAATGCATACGTCATCACTGATTTTATGGTCTATCACCAAATGGCGCTAGAGCCCAAATAGAGCCTTGGCTTCATCCAAAATATGCATCCAACATCACCGGTCCCGTGCTGATCTTCTCCAAGTTTTCACTTCCACAAATTTTGTGCGTCCGCTGCCACTTCATATGTAAAATATTGTATTTAAACATTTCTCATTTATATTTCTTCGATTTTCTATCCTTTTCAGACCATCAAATCAACTTACAAAAATTACTTTAACTAAATTAAAATTTCACCTTACCTTGCGCTGCAGCAACTGACAATACAGTCCGACCTTCAGAGTCCATGGAATCTATACAGCAGCCCCAGAATAACAGGAGAGCTACGACTGGTGCATGCCCCATACTAGCCGCTGCCCACAAAGGACTTCTACCCCCATGGTCACAGTGATCTACGTCAGCTTCATTTTCCAGAAGAAGTTCACACACATCCCTAAAAAGAAGATAGGGTTTTTACGTTGCATAGAAAGATTTTCTATTTAAATTTTGAACTGATAAGTAACAACAAATGTTTGTCATCTAAAATGGATTTATTTTAAGATACATAGTTACAAAAGAGGTGTTTTCATAGTATCAACAACTTCTCTATGCGTTGAGAAATATTGATACCACAAGTTATTTTGATTACCGGGAATAAAAAGTCATCTGGTGCCAAGTTAGGGTAGACCTTTGGGTGATCTATTAATTTAATATTTTGAGTACTCAAAAAGTCACTTACTTGAGCAGATCTATAAGAGCTTCTCATAAAGCAAACGAATACCACGTATTTCAAAGATTCTTCATACTTCATGAATGTAGTGGAAATGAAAACGTCGAACATTAGTTAAAAATGTAATTTTCATTACAATCAATTGTAGTGGCTTAATCCCATATAAACAAAATATTTTAACAAAATGTCAAATATTCCAAATACAGTTAAGTGTAATTAATGATTCAGGAAAAAGTTCCACGAAATCGCAATACAGAACAGAAATCAATATGACTGCGTAATTTAAGATAACTGTACTATCTGTTCATCATGTCATGATAGATGTGTGATGGTTTTATTTAAAACTTCTACTTTTATAGGTACCATTAATGGATAATGGTACTATTTATGAAACTGACATTGATAAATATTATGTTTATATGGGATTAAGCCAAAATTGACTGTAATGCAAATTACATTTTATAATTTTTGTTTAACTGATGTTGTTTAAAAGTGATGCTGATATTGTTTTAAAAACTAACTTGTTACAAATATATACACTTATAACTAGCAGTTTATTAAAAAAGTTAAGCTACTACTTCAAATCGTTAATCTTCTTCTTAGAGTGCCGTCTCCCTACGGAAGTTGGTAATCATAGTGGCTATTTTTATTTTAGAACTTGCTGCTCTAAACAAATCAATCGATCTGCATTGATACCAATCACGTAGATTCCTTAATCATGAGTTCTGCCTTCGGCCAACAGATCTTCTTCCTTGAATCTTTCCCTGTATTATCAAACTCAAAATTTCATATTTTGGTCCCCTCATCACGTGGCCTAGGTATTCCAGTTTTCTGGTTTGTATAGTGGTGATTAGTTGTTTCTTTACCAACCTTTCCAGTACTTCTTTATTTGTAATTCTATCAGTCCATGATATTTTCAATACTCTGCGGTATAACCAGAGTTCGAAGGCCTCGATTAGCTCCATATAATAATATTGAAAATATATAACAGCGAATGGTAGGTAGTCTGATCTCCAAATATAGATTTTTGCACGTTAGGAATGGCTTCATTCGTATAAATGCTGATCTGGCAATCTCTATTCGCCTGTTTATTTCTACAGAATGATCATTGGTTTCATTGATCAAAGTTCCCAAATACTGATATTTTTCTACTTGTTCTATTACGTTACCATTGATTGTCAATAGGTGATGTATATTTTGTGGTCTTTTTGTAATCAGCATGTACTTCGTTTTTTAGCGTTTATAGTAATTCCCATCTCAGCACTATTCATACTTAAGCTTTCGATAAGATGTTGTAGATCCTCTATACTCGTTGCTATGATCACAGTGTCGTCTGCATATCTTAAGTTGTTAATTAATTTTCCGTTAACGGTGACTCCCCTTCGATATTATTGAGCGTGTTTTGGAAAATTTCTTCAGAATATAAGTTAAACAAAAGTGGTGATAAAACACATCCCTGTCTAACTCCTCTACAGATCCTCATTTCTTCTAAGTGTTGCCCATCAATTTGAACTATGGCACTTTGGTTCCAATATAATGTTTGCACTATATTTATGATTTTACTGTCAATGCACTTGTTCATAAGTATTGATATTAGTTTTTCATGTCTTACTTTATCGAAAGCTTTTTCGTAGTCAACGAAGCACAAGTGTAGATCAACATTTACATCCCGACATCGCTGAATCAATATGTTGATGGCAAATAGTTCTTCTCGAGTACCCATTCCATTTCGGAACCCGAACTGCGTCTCGCTAATATCCTCCTCTAGCCTTTCGTATATTCTCTTATGTATTATTTTTATCAGAACTTTCAAAGTATGAATCATGAGGCTCAGTGTTCGATAATCAGAGCACTCTTTTGCTGCTTGTTTTTTAGGAATGGTTATAAATGCTGACTTCAGCCACTCTTGTGGTATTATTCTCGTATCGTACACCGTGTTGAATAAATCTGCCAATACTTCCAAGTTATACTCTTCCACTAGTTTTAACAGTTCTACTGGTATTTCATCTAATCCAGCTGCCTCATTGTCTTTAGAGTTTTTGATAGCATATTCGATTTCATCTATCGTGATCTTCTGTCTCTCTAAAGGATTTAATTCTTGTATTTTCTGCATTTCACCTCGTTAATAGACAAAGTCAAAAGTTTACTATTAAAGTAGGTAAATGGAAATAAAAAGAACAAGGAATATTTGTAAAGTTAGAAAATTACAAATAATATTGTACATACCTGTGCCCCTCGAATGAAGCAACCAGCAACGGTGTCATACCTTCCTTGTCCCTGTGGTCAACCGTAGCACCCCTTTCCAGCAAGGTTACAACAACGCTGGCCCCAGGCGTTCGTGGAGCACACAGAGCAGCAACAGACAATGCAGTCCGCCCGTCTGCATCGGCATGGTTAATATCAGCACCGAAGTTCAACAGATGTTCCACAATTTCTGCGTGGCCCATGTAAGCGGCAGCTATTAAGGCCGTTCGACCTTCGTGGTCTGTCAAATTAACGCTGGCGCCGTTCTGGAGGAGGATTTTGACGATTTCTTCGTGACCTGACCATGCTGCTGCTCGGAGTGCTGTGCGGTTTTCTGCGTCGACACTGTCGAGGACACAGCCATGCTTCACGAGTAATTCCACTACCTAAAAAGAATATTGATATTTACCATATAGATCACATAATTTAATTTAATTAACAGAATTAAATTAAATAAATAAATTAGTATATGTTTTAGGCTTTAGGGAATCATCATTTACCTCTGTGTGACCACCCCAAGCTGCTGCTCTAAGTGGCGTCCAGCCATCTACATCCGCTTGATCTGAATTCGCACCAGCTTCAAGAAGAACCTAAAAGACAAACGAAACATTATTTATTTAACACTTTTTATCTGTAATTTAATAATCTTCTTTACATCTTCAATACATCATTATTAAAAAATCACACGAGATATTAATCCTTGAATTTCTTATGAAGGATAAGCCATCTACAACAATGTTTCCATCAGGCTGTTGATATTATATTAACCCATTAAATCGGTACATTCTTTCCAGATTCATTTCAATACTTCTCTTAATTCGAGCGTTTAAGTCAATGTATAACACTGGCAAAATGTCAACCGATTTACTGGGGTAAAACATTCAAATACTTGGGAATGATAGTGAATGACCAATGGGATCCCCAACGAGAAATAAAATGCCGTACCGAACAAGCAAACAATGAACGACAAGAAAGTACTTCTGAGGGTGATTAATGATAGAATTTATAAAAAAAACTGGAAGAAACAACAAATAGTTAAAAGTTCGGATTTAGAGATGGATTTGGAACGAGGAAGACATTATTCTGCCTGTTCTGGTACAATGACACCGAGACGTCAATGACGATAATTTTCTATTCTTTCCATGTTTCGAGAAGCCGTTTGATATAGACACTGCAGAAGGAAGGAACTACTGAAAGCGGCAAATATCTCCTCGCCATGTGTGGCTTTTTTCTAGCTTGATGGTTGTTCAGATGATACGCGCAGACCTGAGTTTTCTTTAGGTTTGGTCTTAGCGATTTTTTTCAATAGTACTCTGTTAGTTCTTCCAGCGCAGCCAAGAATTTAGTTTCTACATCTTCTGAACCTCTCCCCAATGTAGCCACCGTGGTGTTATCAGCATAAATAAAACGCGTCGTCTCAAAGTGTCAAGTCATTAGTGTAAATATTATAGAGAACACGTGCAACCACGTTTTCATGAGCTAGTCCATTTCTCTTATTTTCCAGCGACCCGTCCTGAATTATAATGTCGTATATTCCTGGTTAGACGCCAAGGTGATCAGGTAGATCGGAAATAAGGTGATAATTGTAAATTTTGTAATTAACGTCCGTTAAGTAAATGCAGTATTCCAAGAAGGAGTATTTAGCCAGGTTTTAATGTCATGTTTTATGTTACGTAATATATATATATTTTTTTATTATTGAGTTAATGCCTCGACAACTAAGATCATTGGCATGGTACAGTCAGGTACCTAGTGTAGTTTGTGTGTGTAGAGTAATTGTCTTGATACTTAGCAAAGTCGACGTCATTGTCTTTGCTAAAAGACGCTAATTGTATCCGAACGTCTGCGGTCCCTCCGGTGAATACCGATCGCACAAGGATAGAAATTATTTTCATTCATTAATTTTTAATAAATGAAAATTTCTCCACCCAGATGAGATTAGAACTCACGACCTTTAGGTTTAAAGGTAGGCGCTCTTACTACTGAGCCACAGAGGGGTTATGTTACGTAATAGCTTTAACTAATATTTCCATTTTATGTCGGTTCTAGTTTCATTTTCCATGTCTCGTTCGGTGACTATTCACAGATCGTGATTAGATATATTATATTAGAAAGCCAATAGATTCCTATCATTTAGTGTACGTTCTCCTGATAAAAATTGTCCTAATTATTGCTGCTTTGAACCTGGAAGTTTCATTCTGGTAAAATTAATTAATAATAAATATACGGAAAAACAAAATAAAATGTTTAAATAAATTCAATGATACTCTTTAAACGTTCTTCTTCTTATAGTTCCATTTTCTATAGAAGGTTGGAAATCAACATGGCTATGTGCACCCCGTTGACTGCCGCTCTAGTTCTGCACTACTGCATTCAAAACAACCTCTCAAGTTCTTAAGCCACGATATTCTTCGTCTTCTCACATTTCGCTTTCCTCGAATATGGCCTTGTATAATAAGTTGCAATAATGAGTATTTTCTTCTTTTGATAGTCAACAATATTTCAGCTTCATTTCCTATTCTTCTAGTAACTTCTGCATTCTTGACATTCTTTGAGGCCATGATATTCGTACGATTCTTCTGTAACACCCAAAATTCAAAGGCGTCCAACTTATTCAGTTGCACTTGTTTCTTTAAATCTATTTTATAATACTTTTACTTACCTTGACAACTTGAGCCTGTCCTAATCTAGCAGCAACATGCAGAGCAGCTTGACCATGCATGTCGTGGATGTCAAACAAAGGTTCTGGACTCTGTTCGCTGGAAGTACTTGCCAGTGACATCTGAAAAATGTTATCCTTTAATTTTGTTAACAATTATAGTCACCTAAAAACTAGCAGTTATAGCGGTATAGAAAAATAAACATCGTGGTGAAGATACTGAGGTGAAGAAAGAGACGTGATAGGACGATGGATATACGACAGAAGAAGAATATAGAATGGTGAGGGAGACGGAGAAAACAGGTTTAAAAGATGAAGATAGACAGAAAAGGAATAGTATAGTGATGATGAATGGATACATAGTGGAAGGGATGATGAGAAAGATATGTATAGAAAAGAGGTGAGGAAGATAGTAATCATAAAGAAAGTAGACAAAGTCAAGATAAAGGAATAAAATAAGTGAAAGGAAATGGTAGATATTAAACCGTGTTTAATATTAGCACGACTTTCTCTTTAATTTTCTTTTATTAAAAATGGTATAAAAAAGTGGAATAAATGGTAGATAAAAATAAAAAAAAGTAGTAATTACGACCTCACAAGGTTCGCACACATAAAATAAGCACATATAAAAAGTAAACCAGACAGTTCTCAAATAGTTGGGTTTGTTTATAACGCTATTCATAATATGTATATATTTGAAAATAGTGTTGGATTATAATTTCACATTCGTAAGTTGCATTATAAAATTAATTATTCTCATGAAAAAGTAGGTATTTATTCTAGACGAACTATTTTTAGCCATTAATGATGACGAATGAAATATAGTGCTGTTTACTCTTATGAAACTTTTAATAAAGATATAATTGTATGTATTTCATGGGAGGTTTGTGATAATATAAATCCTAGATACTATAAATATTAGCACAAGAAATATACAGTAAAACCTCTCTTAACCGAAACACTTTTAACCGAAACATCGTTTAACCGAAACGGCTGACAGTTTCAATAATTTCGTCAATAAAAAGTAAATTTTTATCGCAAAACGTAGAGAATTCTATTAATTTCACTACCGATGCTTATGTGTGTTGGGAAATCAAAAAAACCAAGAGCTCTAAAAGATATTTCCAAAAAAGCACTTCTAGTTTTTTATAGAAGCCAAAAAAGCTCGTGGATGTCGACCACTTTATTTTCAGAATGGTTCGAAAATGAATTGGTCCCAAGTGTAAAATCCTTTTTAAAATCACAAAAAACCTTCCCACCAAAGCATTGTTGCTTGTTGACAATGCGCCTAACTCACCCCCAAAATCTACAAAATAGTGACAATTGTCAGATTTTTGCCACCGAATATCACGGCCACCTAATAGCTTAATTCCGCCGTTAGATCAGGGAGTAATAGAGACATTCAAGGGACGTTATAAAGAAGCATTCTTAAGAAATCTGTTATTACTAAAGACGAATGAATCCAAAAGTGTTCCCGAAATTCTCAAATCTTTACCAATGAAACATGTTGTTTATGGGTGTGCTGAGTCGTGGGCCAAGATCAAATCTTCAACTCTAGAAAAATGCTGGAACAAACTTTTTGATGGAATTTTGATTGACGATCGCTAAGAAGAAAATGATAAAGAAACGACAGAAGAAATTAAACCTTTAATAAAAAATTTGTCGGGAGCTGACCAAATTAAACAAAAAGAGATACGTGAGTGGTTAGCAGCCGATGAGTCAGAAAATGAACTCATCGGCCAGGACATCATTGATATATTGTCAAGCATCAACAGACAGGCAGCACGAGACCGCCGACGAAATTTTCAATGCCTAGAGGTAAAAATTTTATACAGTAGGCCTAATTAGTTAGGGACACGACTAGATTCTAAATTTTTGTTGTCATTGCATGAAGTTTTGTCCTTTTCAGATTGCTTTACGTTTTGTCGAATAATCGAATAAGGCAAACTCATGCCTTTCTGCAAATAAATGATGGAGGATCACTATCAAATGAAAACGCAAAAGAAAATAGAATATTTCTTTAAAAAAGCATGTTAAACTTGTTCATTTTCCTTAATTTTATTACTTTATTTTGTATTTTTTATTAGAAAAAACATTACGAAATCACCCCATTGTATTTTTTAATATCAATACTTTGACCAAGAATACTATACAAAACAATGTTATTTTTAACCGAAATTCTTGTTATCCGAAACGGCCTACCTCCAATTTATTTCGGGTGGCGGAGGTTTTACTGTATCACCAAAATGAAGCTTCGTGAGACATGGGGCAGTCACAAAAAAAAACTGAAAAAGAATCACTTTTATTAATGTATTATACTAAACTATAACTAGGGGGAGAATAAAGGGAGAACGGTTTGATCAAGTACGAGAACAAGCGATAAACAACAAAAATTCAGCCAGGGAGAAATGTTTGCAACGGAACCATAATGCAGATACTTGTATAATTTTATGACCAAATCATTCCGATAATAAACGTACAGTTTTTGCGGGTTTTTGCGGGACATGCAGGACGTCCCGCGTGCATCTCTAGCTGTAGAGAGAATAGCACTGGAAAAGTGGAACTGGGCAGTTCACGTGGCTCGAATGACAGATAGATGGACAAAGCGGATACTGGAATGGAAACCAAGAGATGATGATATAAAACGTTGCCATATGAATTGGATGCAAGAGGCACAACACATGGAAAATTAAGAGGGAGATCTATGTCTAGCAGTGGACAAGCAAAGATTGAATGATAATGATAATACTTCGAAAAATAATTCGATGAAGTCAAACACCAACTCATACATAGACTCAATGGCATGAACATTGACAGCAAGAGTCAATGATATATGATGAGCTCTCTGAGGAAGTAGAAATTTTCGTGGTGTCAGACAGGGCTGTATTCTTTTTCCTCTTCCATTACACGTATGCAGTGAATCTATTTTTAGCGAATCTTTGAACGATGGTAGTGAGGATTAATTTAGAAGTTTTTAATAATATAGGATATGCGGACGACACAGTTGTTGTAACAGATAACCTTGAGGATTTAAAAACACTTGTAGAGAGAATAAACTGTTCACGTAAAGCCTATGGATTGAAAATGAATTTTATAAAGACAAAATTGATGGTCATTTTCTTCTTCTAAATGTGTCTATCTTCTAGAGATGTTGGCGACCACATTGACCCATCTCATTGTATTCACAGCAGCTCGAAATAGATCAGTTGACGGTAGGCCAGTTCATTTCCTAAGATTGGCCAGTCAGGAGATACGTTTACGTCCAGGACCTCTCTTGCCCTCAATCTTGCCCTGTAGAATTAACTGTAGAAGTTGGTATTTATCATTACGCATGTTGTGGTCGCAGTAAGCCAATTTTCTGTTTTTTATGGTGTTAATAATTTCTTTGTCTTTTCTTAGCCTCTGGAGAATAGTTATGTTATTTGTGTGGTGTATATATGAGACCTTCAACATACGTCGGTAGCACCACATTTCAAATGCCTCCAATCGTTTTATGGCATCTTCTGTAAGGCTCCAGCTTTCTATTCCATAGAGGAGAACACTAAAAGACGTAACATCTAAGAATTCTTATGTGTATATTGATACTTACAGATAAGTTGCAGGGAATCTTCAGGCTGTTGAAAGAGCTTCTGGCTTTTTCAATACGAGTTTTTATTTCGTAGCTGTGATCTCACATATCCTTAATATTGCAGCCCAAATAGCATATTTTTTCCACCCTTTCTATGGTCATTTTAAAGAAAGATAACATCCCGGACAATCTTGTTATAAGCAATGAGCAGACAGAGGGAGTGAAAAGCTAGCTTTTAGCTAGCACTTAATAATTTTTATACAACAATTTAAGTCATATATTTATAAAAAATTAAGGCAGTGTCTAATATAATGGCCTATAGGCCTATGGGATCTTCTTCCGGAGAACACAGAATTGAACTCTCTATGTTGTTCTCTGTCAGTCTACCAATTTTTTCTACATTATTACGGTTTTTTACGTTGGTACAACACTTTTTTTAGTGAAGTGTTGGCACAGATCAGAAAGATTTGTGCCTCTAAATCCACTGTGTTTTGGTGAATTTCTGACAATATGATTGAGGTTATGTTATATTTTAAACTGTGAGTTTAAGTGTATTTTAAAGTAATGGCTAGTCGTAAAGCTATTTTAGACAACGCGGTGTCAAAAGGTGCCAAAAAGAAAATCGTTCAGGAGTATGTGTCAAAATTTACGGGAAAAAATCTTCAGAGTAAGGTATTTTCTGTTGTCAATAAGTGTTATGTAGAAAAACGTTTAGCAAAAATAACTTCGCAAAATTAAAAGCTAGTTAGGTGAAACACTAGATCCTTTACATGAAATAAAAATTCAAATAGACGTAGCAAGAACAGCATTTATAAAGATTAAATAAAATTTCTTCGTTGTAGCAGCCTCAACCTAAGGCTCCGATTAAGTTTCCGAATGTTCATATGCTATGTTTTTTCGATTCTCCTTTATCTATTGGAGGGTTGGAACTCAGGAAAACTGAAATGGATAAGCTTGCTGCCTTTAAAAGGTGGTGTTGCCGCCACATGTTAAAAATATCATGGACTGACGTAAGTAAAAAATTTAGAACTTTCAGGAAAGAACAAAGCAAACCAATAATCAGCAATGAAAAGAAGAAAGCTTGAATACTTTTTATTTAATTTACATAATGTTTGGAGATAAAAGGCAAACGGAGTAAAGACCGGAGAAGAATATCCTGGTTTAAGAACTCACGAGATTGTTTGGACTTACAACAATCGCCATACAAGAAAAAAGGAAGTTCTCAAGGTTTTGTGAAAAGAGGATTGGTAACTTTTATTTTAAAATGTACGAGTGACTATCAGAAAGACATAAATGGAGATATCTTTGAGAAATTGTTTGTTCTGGGAGAAAGAATTTCTCTTTGAGAAATGTTATATCTTGAAGAAGCCTTCGGAATTAAAAGAAATCAATGTAGGTGTACTACAAGGTAGTGTGGTAGGATCAGTCTTGTCTCTATTCTACACTAGTGATATCCCTGAATTAGATCATAACACAATAGCTACAGTATTGTGCGAATTAATGGAATCACTGTGAATTTTTTTTTCATTTTTTCAATATTCACAGTTGGCAACAC